AAAAGATAAAAAGACGTAACAAACATCATCGCTTAAATGGAAAAAGTAGTGAGTAATAATATTTTTGCATAAAACGATGTGGGGAGTTGCAATTCGTTCAAATACATAATATCAATCAAAAATTGAACTTTGAATTTTTTATTGCTTACGACTTTTTGCATTTTACGTGACGATATGAGGTTTTCTTTTAAATCGGTAAAATATATTTATATATCTACATATATATACCCTTGGGGTCAGCTGATTAAGTCAAGTGACATTTTGACTAATTTTGGTTATTTTTCTATTTTTCTGCATACCCAAAAATTTCTAAAAATTGTAAATAAAAAGCTTAACATTTTTGGGTGCAAAAGTAAATTTTTTTGCATAGCGATTGAAGAAAATTCAAACTTTAAAATCCAAAATGTTACTCATACGGAATGTTGGAGTATGTATGAGTACGGCCGTGTACGATATGGCGTATGAGTAACATTATTTTCTTTTGGTAGTAAAAGTGCAACATGAAATCAATTTAATTCAACGTTGCGTATGATAAACTTTTTTGAATATTATGCTGAGTATTTACAAATTCAGCATAAAACACATGTAAATACATATGTATGCATAAGTGCCAATTATTTAACATACCGCTTCCGTTTGTAAAAATGGATCCTATTTGCCCGGACAACCAAGAGGTGCTAGCGCAATCTAAAAGCAGATATATTAGTCAAATAAATTCGTATACAAAATTAATTATGCTGTTTATATACAAACCAATAGAACTGAATTGGAATTCGCGGTTATTTTCCATTACTTTAATTTCTTCCCGATTGATACGTTGAATTTTTAGTTATTTTTCTCTTATTATTTTTTATTGATAGCTTATTCGGTGAAATCAAAGTTTTCTTAAAGCAAACCCGTGTATAACACCACTTGGCGAAACTCCGTGGCTTTCCAACGAGGCAATTCTTCGAAGGGTCTACATTTTCGGCCAAACTCCTTTGGTGTGCATTTGCGAATAATTTTCATCCTTTCGTTTATCAAATCTTTTCCAACCAATTTCCTTTTTTTGTCCAAACTTTTCCCTTGCCATAATAACATGCAATTTTTT